GACCCCCCACAATATTGGCACCTGAACGTTTTTCCTATTCAGTGTGCCCTTAGGTCTATAGTTGTAATGGAGTAAGCTTGATCCGAATGTCGTTCCAACATCTAACTGCTGTCTATTTGAATATGCCCAAACGATTTTTTGGCAGGTATGATAAATATGTGCGGATTTTTTGTGTGAGCGACAGTACAGATTCTACGCACGTCTACACAACCAAGGTGTTGCTTACAAATCTCACTTTCCGGATCAAAAATATATTTGAAATGGTCGTAACGACAAATAACGGAAATAACAACCAACAGTTTTATTTTGAAAGTTGTGAACTTTGGAAATTTCGTCTTTTCATTTGCGTCGACATCAACATGGGCCGTCCGAAAGGAAGTAAGAACAAAAAAAGCAACCATAAGGCTGGAGGCGACCGGAAGTCAAAGAAATTTCAAAATGCCAAGGAGGAGAAAGCTAAGAGAAGCCATGAGTACTTCCTCTCACGGCGACATCAAAATGATCCATCCTCTGCGAAGTCACCACACCCTATGGAGGAAGCGATTTTCAAGATTTCAAAAGAACTGATGGCAGAGGTCCTTGACCACCCGTCAATGCCAAAAGGAAAATTTGTCCCAAACCAAGGCACTGTTGATTTTACAAGTGGGAATGCTTGGGAAGTGAAATATGACGAGGATGATGATGACAGGTCTGCAAATGGAATTGGGGACTACGGAATTGGTGCATCAAGTGATGATGACAAATCATCAGCTTCATCAACAAGGTATCGCCAGTCGTACACGCCAAGCCAAGGGACGCCTTTGTACAACTACTTAATGGAAGTACAAGGCAAAATTATTGACGACGAAAACTGTCAACAACAAAAGTTCATCCATCCAAGTAAATCACCGCTGGCATCCGGTCTGGGGAAATCTCCCAATCCAAGCAACTTCTACAAAGATGTTGTGGTTCGAGTATGGATACCAGATGCACAGTTCAAGAGCCTGCACTACAAATACAAGTGCCCAAGTTGCCAATCCGATTCAATCAACACAAAACATCAGGGAAGTTGGCGCCCCGCAATTGCAAATGGGGATATCCATTGGGTCTTTTTTTTTTATGTTGATGCTCAAATAAGGCTTGTAAGAATAAGACTTTTTCTACAATCAGCCAAGAGTTTTTAAATGATCTACCTTCATGCATTTTGGATGAATTTGAATATCTGTTTCCACCAAAAGGCGTAGGCATTTTGACTGACATGCTACGATCACTATCAATTCAAACAAGTAACCATATTCTATTTGGCGCTTGGACAAATCAAGTGAACAATATCATTTGGCAAAAATACTATAGGGGATCAAACCAAAACTATGAATTACTGAAGGACTGGCTAAATAAGTGGCCTTCAGTATCAGATCATACTGGGCACTGTCCATTGCATGCTACTGGTTATGACGGTGCCCCAATCGAGCCATATTCTGCATTTGGTGCTTCTGGATATCACAATGGCATACTAATGACAGTGGGCCAAGCTAGGACCCTGTTCGAAATTTTAGAAGGAGGCAAACGGTTCTGTTACAATCAGAACTCGTTTGCAGCATGGCATGACGACGGTTTGCGAGCTGACGACACATTCAAAATATGCAAAAAAGTCCATGTCCATGTCATCTGTACTAACATTGCTTTCAAAGAGTGGGAAGATTGTTGGCTCAACCTGGAAGATGGGAATGTCTCGCGAAGTAAACAGAAGCATACTTCAAGATATCAAAGCTGCGCGCAACTATGTTTGTGCACCGGAATTAAAAATGTTGCAAACTGACAATCCGACAGGTGAAGAAAGACCCTTCTATGAAGATTTCCCATCACTACATGATGGAACCGACAGATCTCGCTCCCTCCCTGCAATTGCAGTACCTAAAAGAGAAATCCGTGTCTTTGAAACAACTGCTGCGGCGGATGGCTTCTTTTATTCCTCATTGAATTATTCACTGATAGTCATGACATCCACTATGGTCTTGATACAGAGTTTGAAATCCCAATGCCGCAGGAGTTGACAGTTTTGTCTTTATCCTTTCCTAAGTATCTTGGTGTATCTGCCAACTTGCCAACTGCCATCATCCTACATTTGTATAAAATGAGAGGATTCCCTGAGTCGCTCAGGCGCATCCTGCAAAAAAAGAATATGGTGCCAATGGGGCGTCAGATTGGAGGTGACTGCAGTAAACTTGAAGAACAATATAGTATCACTATAGAGAGACGAGTTGAGCTTGGAAGTCTATGTAAAAGCGACCGTCCAGAAATAACTATGAAGGCTGGTGGAATGAAGTTGAAGAGCTTGATGAACAAATATTTACGGTCAATGTATCCTATGGACAAATCGAATGCTCAAACTACTAGTTACGCTAGAACATTGACAGACGAAGATATTCAATACTGTGCTCTAGATGCTCTTGTGTCCCACATGGTTGGTCATCTAGCTATGGAATCTCTGGCAAGGAAACCACTATGCGCCAAAGGTACACACACTGTAATAGATGTGGGAAGCCGGTGTACTGTTACCTTTCGCAATCGTGATATTGCAAAAGGAACAATAGAATTTGTTGGAACAAGAGGGGAACAAAGACGATGGAATGGGAGAACCATTGGGCGTTGTGACTGTCTAGTTTTGGTGGAAAATGTAATGGATGAGAGCCATTCACCAAACCGACGACATGAATCATGGCCAGATGATGCGCTTACTCTGAAGGATTTGGCTAATATTAATGGGCCTCTAAAGTTGGTGGTTGGAACAAAACAGATCCGAGCGATTGATGGTGACAAGGAGGATCGCGATTTGCTGCCATATACCTTTTTGCATAAATTTGTCCAACATGATAAACAGTACTTCCAATCGCTTGTGGATATGGCAACAGTACATGATGTCAGCAATGATGACCCCAAGGAGGAACAGGAGGAACAAGAAGAAAGTTTAGATGATCATGAAGGAGATGATGGTACCGAGCATGCACGGTACCAAGGACTTACAAGATCACAGCGTGACATCCTTCATCAGCTGCACAAGTTACCACTGAAAAAGAACTGTGAAGCAACTGTTTTTTTAAATCAAATGGTACTTGCAGCAACCTGGATTAACAATCAAGAAGATTACTCCAACGTTGTGACTGCACTTCAAAACAATCACAATTTGAGGACGTTGCAGCTCACGAGTTCTTCAATAGGGGATATTGGAGGCAGCGTGTGCAACGACTTACCCCAACCCCAGAAAACCATGCTGGCAATCTGGAGAAGGTAAAAAGATTTGTGTCGTCTGACAATCGCTTCAAGGAATATCGAACAGTTGAGCTTATGAAAAGGTTTGAAAAATTCATTGAAAATGCAAGGCAGGGGATGTATTACTTACCCGGGGATATGGACGTATACCGAGTTGAACGAATTGACAAGGACGGTCTGAAGGTATACGTTACCGACTGGGGTACTAACCTCAATGAAACCCTGCATCAAAAGTATGCAGATCTTGTTGGTCCCTACTCAGTCGGAATGAAGAGCGCTGACCTTCTCCTTGTTCTTTGATCCTTTTGATTCAACGTAACAATTGGAATAGGAAGATGTGGTGAGCCAGATTTTGGAACAGATTGACATGACATCATTGACAAAACCCAACACTGGATCCTACATACGTTTGGAATATTACCTTGGCCAACACACAAGAACTTACTGGACTTTTTGCCGCCAAGTGACTCAACAGTGGTTGGGTTGCGACCGTTGAGATTGGATCCGAATCATGTGAGGTACTCAGAAACACCAGCAACCAAACTCTCAAACGATCATTATTACCTCTCAAAAAAGCTTGGGCTTGCAATTGCGCCTTTGCCAGTTTGTACAAAAAATGAATTCATGTTGTACAACTCCGAGCTAAAAACAATCTTTGAGCAGGGTCGCAATCCAAACATCAATGATTGGAATGCAATGGCCTGCAAATTTTTACAAGAGGAAATGAGTGAACAAAAACAAATATATCCCAAGACAGTTGATCATCTCAAGAAGTACTTCACCTCATGGAAGCACAACCAACGAGTTAAGCTGTTTTGTAAACAGCTCAATTTAGCTTCCAACCCACTTATGAAAACACTTCGAGAGCAATCAACAACTAAGTCCCCAACCATCCAAACTCAGAATTTACCAAAGCAAGTGACACATCTGTCACGGCCCTTAGAGGCAATGCCGAACTATGTGCCACCTGATGGGGCACCGAATCAAACAAAGCATGTCAAGTTAGAAATGAAACAAGAATCAAGGAACACTGAAGACAAGCGCACTTATGAAATGCTGATTAGTCTTACCAAAAAAGAACTAACTCGACAGAACAGAAGATGCGCTTGGTATCCATATTGCCAGTCTCGAGTGTGGCATTGCTTAGGGTACAAGCAATCAAGTTGTACTTTCATTGGGAAGATGCCACAGGAGGTAAAGGAAGAATATTGTAAAAAGATGGTAGAGATGGAAGTAAAAAAGAAAATCAAATCTGAAAACACAAAATTAAAGCGCAGATACAAAGCATTGAGACAAGCTGCAAAACCAAATTCGGCTAAAGCATAACGAAAAGACATACCAGAAGTGATGGAAATTATAGACAATGGTGACAACAACAAGCAAGTGTGCCTTCCAAACATGTATTACAAGCTCAGAAACATGTGCAATATAGTAGGCGAATATTCAATGAAGGATCTTGCAACAACAGGAATGTGTGTGAGTGATCAAGTGGTTGATGGTTACATTTCACTGATAATCAACGGAATGCATACCTATAGGGGCAACAATGAACTTGCAGGTGTTTCTTCATTGATCTTGTTGTATATGCGGAGACAAGGGTGGAAGGGTGTGAGGCATCTCTTTGCAGAGGAAAAAACAGTTCACTTTGTTCCCGCTTTCTTTGGCCATTATGCTTGTGGCCACTGGGCTGCAATGATCATTGACATGACTTGTGCTGACGATGAAGATGGGACACTTGTTTATGTTGACAGCATTCCATCAATGAGAACAACTAATCATATGGAAGTGAAGAAATTGTTTACAAATCCTGGTACACCATATGCAAATACAAAACAAGTATTGATGAAATCGCCTGGTCAAGCCATTTATTCCAATGATTGCGGCATGTTCATGCTGGGAACGTTTGTGCGGTGGGCGTTTCGGACACCACGGGATCACCTGGTGCCAAAAGAGATTCAGTTGCAACATGGATTCACTCCTGCTCAATATGGAATTGAAATGAGAAAACATGTTCATAAATCATTGAGAGATGGCCGAATCAATTTTGAAGACACTATCCTTCAGTGCTTGTTACTGGTAGACAATAACAAATAAAAATTTACCTTTCCTCCATTGTCCTTGTTGTTGCAGCAAATAAAGGTGACTGTGCTATAGGATGCGAGATGCGCCGTACTGATACGAACGTGTACGATTGCAAGCGGTCTGTGAGTAGTAAGGATAAATCGGCTGCTTACGAAAGCTGTCGATGAACGATGAACTCACTCTTTTTAAGAATACGTTTGATTACAATACTGCCTACCGTCTACCGTCTACCATAGCTACTACTTCGTAAGTCAACAACATCGTAACGCAGTGACGATAATATTTACATGGTTTATCAGATCCAGCAATAACTGCTGAAAGTTATTCAACGAACAAAAATGAAAATGAACATGAAGACGAAAATGAAAATGAAAATACAACGACCACGAAACGGCATCGAGCGTACTACGAACGCTATGATGGGTGACACAACACCAATGGCAAATGTTATAATGAATGGGTGCCGCAACACCGACGAAAACTGCAACCACTGGTGATGTAACACTGTGATGGTCAACGAAAAAACTGCTTTCTTGATGGGTGCAGCAACACCAACGAAAACTGTAGCCTTTAACACAAAAAAAACAAAAAAAAAACTTTAACTAACAATACGTTGATATAGGCACCATGGCCGCCATCCCTCCTCTCTTCACCGTTCATGACAATATGGTCATTTGTGGCATTAACGATGCAACCCTATTCCAAGGACGCACGCAAGCTGAGAGAATTGCTTACGAAATATTCTCTGATGACTTTAACACTACAATGGATGTATCCATTGACGAACTTAACGACGAACTCAAAACACTGGCAGGAATGACTACTGCACAAGGGCAAATTCGATTGATGCCTGGCATCAAGAAAAATATCCGCGCCTTCATCCAATGGTGCAGGGACGAATTCCGCATGGGACGGGACCCAGCAACAGTACACTTCCTAGAGATGTACATCCAAATGGCACCACTCCACGGCGAAGCCTTCACGATGGACAACGCCAAAGTTTTAGTCCTCTTGCGAAAATTCATCGTGGGCAATACCCAGGCCGAGGCGACACTACGAGCCATTAATGTTGAAGGCAAAGGAAGAGATGCATTTATCGCCCTACGCACCCACTACGAAGGAGAAGGACTACTAGCCCAAGACATCGTCGAGGCCGAAAACACAATCAAGAACCTATACTACGTGGGAGAAAAGCCTACAATGAACTGGACCATGTTTGAACGCATGCTGAAGAAAGCATACGCAGCATCCGACAAACATGAGGGGAGAGTCGTACATTCCAAGGTTACTGCATCGTTCCTACAACTGAACAAGACGGCGATTGACACGGAAATTGGCAAACGGCCTATGGTGATGAATTTCACGACGGCATTACGAATCTACCGAACTGCAGTGAGGGAAAAGTTTCCCCAAGGAGCCAACAATGCTACTGACAGGGGACGACACTTGGGCGAGGCTCGAGCTAGTAACGATAGGAACAGGCGAAACGACGACAGGAGCAGGAGCCGAAACGGAGGAGGGAGAAACAGACACAGAGATGAAGAAGAGATTACCCTGAGCAATGGGGAGAAGATCTGGTACCACCCCAGTTATCACTTTCCCCGTGATCAGCTACGGGCAATGACTGATCCCCAACGAGAACGCATGTCAAATGAAAGGGCTGCACATCGCGCACGTCAAGGAATGCCGGCAAGACAAACGCGACAGAGCAACACGGAAACACAACTTTCTGAGTTAAGAGCAGAGATAGCGTCACTCCGATCAAACAACGTCCCTGGGGCTGTTGAAACGGGAGAATCAGCTACACGAATATCACAGGTGACGATGGGGACTGGTGGAACTTCCGTAATGGGCGGACGCAACCAACAAGCGAGCGGGCGCAACCAACAGGCAGGTGGATCGTCACCATGATCCGCGGTAGGTGAGGTCAAACGAATTGTGCGAGTGATCTCATCCAACACAGCCACACCCCAACAACCGGTACAACAACCACCACCTGGAACGCTAGCAAGTAATGAAATGGACACCAATGCCGACACTTGTTGCCTTGGCAAGAACTTTGTGATCATGAGTTACACACCAAGATCAGCAGATGTATATGCATACGACCCAGCATTACCACCGACAAACGTCCCTATTGTGTCAGGAGCAACTGCTTTTGATTGCCCACAGACTGGTAATACGTTCATCTTAATAATTAACGAAGCACTCTACTATGGGAACCGATTGGACCATTCACTAATCAACCCAAACCAGGTACGAAGTTTCGGAATTCCCCTATGGGATAACCCTTTTGACGAAACAAGGCATGTTGGTATTGAATCCAAGAAGATATTCATAGCATTAAAGGCAAAAGGCACGAAGTTACTCTTTGATTCGAGGGCGCCAACTGAACACGAACTTGCAACCTGCCTACACATCGACCTGACAAGCAAGGTGCCGTGGAACCCAGGAACTGTTCAACTTGGCAAGGTCTCCGCAGCCCACAAAGTCACTGAGGACCATGTAGATGATCCAAGATCCAACGAGGCAGAACTGAGACACTTAGATCCCATAATGCAAGGGATGAACGAATGGCGCACTGTGCAAACGGCGATGGCCGACGGGGAAAGATTCTTGAAACAAATGGCAAGAACAGGAAACGAACGATTTGAAGACGTGCCAGTAAGGCCATCGTTTGTATCCACTCAGCGACATACCAAGGCAACAGCAGAAAATCTATCGGAACGACTAGGTATTGGATTGAACAGAGCACGAGCCACTTTGAGATCGACACTCCAACGAGGAACTCGATCCGCCATCCTGCCACTAGCACGAAGATATCGGGCGGACCGAATGTTCTTAACGGTACGTCCGCCGCTCGACAGACCCTAGAAAGGCGGAAGACTGAAGTTCCAAAAAGACACACAGACCTAAAATCAAGTTTTTCCCCATACAAAAGTTTTAGTTTAGGTCCTTAGCTTGCATAGTATCGGGTGGGGGCATCGTCATTATGCTCTAGAGAGCCACTGTAGCCGCAAACCCTCAGAAGCTGCTTTGGACAGCAATCAAAAATTTTAGATATCCAAAATGTGCTAGCAATGCATCAGAAAATGCTCCGATCAAGCCATGGGTCGGGATGCGGATAGTTGATAAGTCGTATCAGGCCACGCTGCACTCACATGACCCTCATAGCACCCCATAGTATCTTGCAGGAGGTTGATTGTTAGCTCTGATTTTTCTTCAGATGTTGCAAATCCATGTCGTTCCATTAACGGGTATACCGGCAATACAAACACCAGACACGGCTTCGAGTATTTCCATAGCACGAAGATTGTGTTCCATCAAGATCTCAGGTTCCTTACGAGCCTCATGATTGTCCAATAGCCAGAGCATCACCAACAAATACCAACGTAAAATAACCACTGATACCCAACTGCAAAGCAGTAGAGCCACCCCATCCGACGTTGTTGGAGTCAGCAAATTACAACGGCTTGTCGATCCACAGGATAATTGATATAGCTCCTATAGCGCAAACAATCGGAATAGCGAAAGGAAGTAGTTAGATCAAT